CTTTGAAGTTGCACAAAGCCAACCTTACTCTCCTTTGTCACTCCGTGGTCACTGGTGACTTTAGGCAAATTAATCAACTTCTTTGAGTTTCTATTTCCACATATATAAAAGAAAAAGAAGACTGTCTGCAGACACATGAAAATCAAGTGAGTTATGATATGTAAACATCTAGCACAGTGCCTGTCATAATAAATGCTCATTTAAGAGTAGCTGCAGCTATGAATATATTATTTTTGTGCTATTACGCTTTTTTTATTTCTTTTTTAAAGACACATTCTATTTTAATAATTAAAGCCCTCAGGATTACAATCAGCAATGCTAGAGCTCAGAGCAATTTCTGGTTCAAATACTGGATATTTAATTTGATCTCTGCCTCTGTTTATGGGGGCTAGAGAAGAAATCTCATTGTTCCACACACTGCAAGTAGAAAGATGCTCATGAACTCAGTGGAGGTTATTTTTTATGACTCCAGGAATGTAATCTTTCTGATTGATGATTGTTGTTTTTCAGATTTTTTAAAGTTCCATTCAAAGAATTCATATCTCAGATTATTGATTTTTATTTTTTACTTGCTTACTTTTCAGTGCAACATATTAATAGTATATGATCAGGGAGATAAAGAGCAGTATTTATTTGATTAAAACTTCTTCAGCTTAATTTTCTTGTTGCTAGTGGCAACCAACAAAAAAATAGATCTAAAATGACAGGCAAGAACCACAGTGATTAGAGTCTGTGTTTTTATCTTTCCCCAGTTGTAATTTTAAAATAGCCTCTCTAGTGCTTGTGGTCATAAAAATGATTACTATATACACCACTTTAGACATATTGACAAATCACCCACCTAAACAACCCTATTGCACTAATGAACCTTTTCCCAGAGCTTGAAGTCAACTTCAGGCCACATGTGCTGTTGCTACCCTAAATGGCTGTAAGGAAGGTGATATTGTGTATATTATTGAATTATATTCCAAAGTAAATTTTAACTAGTATGTCTTAGATCAACATAATGTTATGCATAGCAGTAGCATTTACACAGTTTTTCTCTTTTTGAAAACAGTATCACTTTCTAAACAAATGCACACACACTGTGTGTATCTATTTAAGATTAGATGGTTTTGACATAGATACGCGAAGAGCTGACTCATTGGAAAAGACCCTGATGCTGGGAGGGATTGGGGGCAGGAGGAGAAGGGGATGACAGAGGATGAGATGGTTGGATGGCATCACCAACTCAATGGACATGGGTTTGGGTAGACTCTGGCAGTTGGTGATGGACAGGGAGGCCTGGTGTCCTGCGGTTCATGCGGTCGCAAAGAGTCGGACATGACTGAACGACTGAACTGAACTGAATTGATATTGATATATACTAAAATCACTAAAGGAAACTAAAAATACATCCTTGGCAGAGCTGTTCATAATACAGTGAAATTCTATGTGATTACTTTCCAAAAACAAAAGAACACTGAAATAGGAACAGGAAAGTAAGAACTTTACAGAAGCATGCCCCACCTTTGGGATGCATTTGCTGGCTATTGCAAAACTGAACCTGATATCCAGGAACACACTAGAACAGCATATGACCTTAGTAGTAAAGGTCACTCTTCCTCTGTCATCTTCCTCATTTGTAAGCCAGCAGAACCTTCTAGCTCAGGGTTTGATCTCTACATGCTGTGATGGTATTTGTGTGACTCCTGACATGTTGTATTCACTTGGACAGGAGTTCCAGAGGGGTGGCCGTGATCAAACTTACAATAAGACTTCAGCTGGTTGAGGAGCTTTTTTGATGAATAGCATGTGTGCTAATTTGCATTTCTTGAGGCCAAGAAAATGTTTCCATACCCTCTGTGTTAAAAGGTAGGATTTCTTAGGAGGGATACTGTAGACTGCTAACAGCACTTTTGGGGATGGGTCTGGGAGCAAAGTATTGTGTAGTCAGCTGGGAATTAATGAAGCTAGTACTCCCAATGAGGGAAGGCCCTTAGCAGCCAGATTTGATACCGGAAGTCAGTGCAGGGGGAGCCTCTCTGAGCTGAGCAAGGTGAGAGGGCAGGGGAGGAAGCCAAGATGAGGCTTAAGAAGATCAAAAATGTTTTGTCTACTGCACAAAACTTCATTGGGCTGGCACTCAAAACAGTTTCTAATGAATTTTTTTAAAAGTACTTGCCTAGCCAAATTCACAAAATTAAAGAAGCAGTTTCCTATTTGCTTTTCTTCTAAATCTGTACAACACTGGAACACTCTGCTGTCTCCTTGCTTAAATTTGCCACAGGCATGAAGCTCTGACTTTCCAGGCTTTGAGTCTGGGTTGGCTCTGAGTGAAGATTGCCAGGGTGCAGGTTATTAAACTAAAGAAGGGATGATTAAACTTTTAAATGCTTACCTCTGCTTGCCTTCTCCATCAGCATTCAAACTGAAAATGGATTAGAACCCTCCTAAAAGATGATTGATCCTTGGAAAAAAAACTATGACAAACCTCAACAGTGTTTTAAAAAGCAGCGATATCACTTTGCTGACAAAGGACTGTATAGTCAAAGCTATGGTTTTTCCAGGAGTCCTATACGGATGTGAAGACTGAGCACCGAAGAATTGATGCTTTTGAACTGTGGTGTTGGAGAAGACTCTTGAGAGTCCCGTGGACAACAAGGAGACCAAAACAGTCAATCCTAAAGGAAATCAACCCTGAATATTCATTAGAAGGACTGATACTGAAGCTGAAGCTCCAGTACTTTCGCCACCTGATGCAAAGAGCTGACATGTTGGAAAAGATCCTGATGCTCAGAAAGACTGAGGGCAGAGGAGAAGGGGGTGACAGAGGATGAGATGGTTGGATGGCATCATAGATTCAATGGACTTGAGTTTGAACACACTCTGGGAGATAGTGAAGGACAGGGCAGCCTGTTGTACTGCAGTCCATGGGGTCACGAAGATTCGGACAAGACTTAGCAACTCAACAACAACAATTCTCTAGGGCTCCCAGTACATATGTTTTGTTGTTTAGTTGCTGAGTCGTGTCTGACTCTTTTGTGACCCCATGGTCTGTAGCCTGCCAGGCTCTTCTGTCCATGAGATTTTCCAGGCAAGAATACTAGAGTGGTTTGCCATCCACTCTCGCTGTATTGCTTGGGTTTTCTCAACTTGTTTCAGTCAGTAGGGGATGATGAAAGTCCCAGAGCTAGAAGCAGGAGATTCCATTGAGGACTTGATGGGCTGTGGAGCTTGGTCTTTTTTTTTGCTTTTCTTTTTAACAGAATATGCTCTTTAAAATAACTTGACTACATTGGCACAGAATCGGAAGTAAGTAAATCGTGGCCTCAAGCAATTCAGATTTTTGAGTATATAAAAACCTGACAAAACAAAATAGTAATTTATGAAATTAAAGCTATATCTCCCTGGGAAACTGATGGCAAAGATGCTTAAAGACTGGAGGCTATTTGAAGGAGGAAGAATTTTTGAAGCTTCATGATAGCAGGGACTGTATTTTTCTTACTAATCTTTCTCACCTGGCATAAAATCAACACTGAACAATTTTGTTGAATGAATGAATGAACTTTTATTTTGTATTTGTGTTGCTCTCTCTAGATCCTGCTTCTCTAGAGCCTATATTTATTTATGCAACAAATATTTATTAACTGCCAACTTTATGTTAGGTATTATGGTGGATTAAGAGTATTAAAAAATGGATAAAACTTGCGGCCCACCCCCAAAGAGACCTCAGCCCACTACTGCAATGCTTAGATTTATTTATTTATTTATTTTAATGCTTAGATTTATTGAGCAATACTGTTTATCTTTACCCCTTTTTCATCTCATTCCTATTCAATTTTTAATTAAGTTTTATTTTATACTGGATTGCAGTTGACTTACAACGTTGTGTTAGTTTCAGGTATACGGCAAAGTGATTCAGTTATGCTTTTTCAGATTCTCTTCCCACGTAGCTTATTACAGACCGTTGAGTAGAGTTCCCTGTGCTGTACAATAGGTCCCTGTTGACTTTTTTATTTTGTTTATAATAGTGTGTATATGTTAATCCCAAACTCCTTCTATCCCTCCCCCAACCTTTCCTCTTTGGTAACCATAAATTTATTTTTGAAGTCTGTCAGTCTATTTCTGTTTTGTAAATAAGTTCAGTTTTTGGATCCCACACATTTTTCTAAACTTTTTTTTTTTCCTGTTAAAAAATTTTAATTACTTACAAGGCTTCCTGACATTTCTCCTCTCAGTAGCCCATTTCTTCAAAATGCTTTGAATTTTGAGCAACCCTGGTGTTTTTGTGAACTTGCTAAATTAGATTTATGTCTTTCCTTCCTTCCCTCTCTTCCTTCCTTTTTTCCTTCCACATTGATTTTCTCTATGTATAAATCGTGCACTAATTCTTTCAAAGTTTTTATTACAATGTGATTCCCAAGTGTTTGGACCAGAGTTTTGAAAGTTTAATGACCTTGTTGTAGGGTAAGGGAGTTAGAGAAGGCGAGGTTCGGAAAAAGAATGAGACTGACACTTTAGAGGAACAGGTCAGCTTTAATGAGGCGAGAAGGGGCAACAGTCAGATTAATGAGCTGCTGCACTAACCCAAGAAAAGAGTAAGTATATATAGGCATATATGTGGAAATCTACTGTCTTAAGGGGGCCTGTTCTTCTCCCAGGTGGTTCGGATTAGCTATCTCTTAAACGGCTCGGGCAAGGAATTCTGGAGATCGGCCAGAGGCTGGGACTGGCTAGGAGCTGGGCGTAATCAACCTTAATGTCCATTTTTTTCTTCAGGTGAGAGAGTTCTTTGTTTTGAAAAGAATGGTGGGGAGGACCTGGAGGGGAGTTTTAACTCCAGGCTATTTTGAGCCACGTATCTTTCCTTCATTCCAGGCCTTAAGGAATATATATAAAAAGAGAAAGAGAGGTGGATGTTGTTAATGTTCAGGGCTTCTTCATGCTGATAAATGAGGGTCAGGGGTGTGTGGTCTGGAAGGAAGGAAGTCTAAGGCCCGTAGTGTTAATTTTCTCTTTTAGCCATCAGCGTCTTGAGCCGAAGAACAGTCTTGACTTGGTCTCGGGAAAGGGCTCGGATTCAGTCTTGGAGGAATCCCTGGAAAAAATTAAACAAACAGGGCCCAAAGGTGAGTAGGTGATAAAATGAATGGTCCGAGAAGGGGTAAAAGTTATAAAAGGTTCTCTGTAGCCACAGGGTGGAGATGTAATCTTCAACGTGTTCAAACGTGGATCCTTGATGACTCGAGACCCAGATATCTGCCAGAAGTTGTTCCAGGAATAATTGCAGCCATGAAACTGACAGGCTCGTCTTTCGCCAGTTGGGGCTGGTGGAACTTTAGAGTTGTAGGGCCTGTGTGAGAAACTTGGTAAGTATTAGTCTGGCAAGCATTTTAATCATTGGGCTGCATAGCCTTTTTTAGACGAGTGATGTGTACCCAAGGGGTGATTTCTTTTAATTTTGCAGCTGTAGGGGTCAGCAGAATTACCGCGTAGGGACCTTGCCATTTTGGGGTTAGATCTGAGTGGGGCTGAATTGTCATATAGACTTTGTCTCCTATTTGAAGGGATGGGTATGGAAAATTGGAATGTGGTCGAGGGAGTAAGTCATGCATATGTTGCCAAAGGGCAGCTTGTATCTGGGCAAGTAAAGGACAAGGAAGGTGGGGTGGCAGTTTGGGACCGTCCCGGGAGAGGGGACGACCTAAAGGTACCTCCTATACATGGCCTTGAATGGACTGATATTTAAGGGTTTTTTTGGTAAGGCCCGGACCTTTAAGAGGGCTAAAGGGAGGAGTTTAGTCCAGTCTTGATGACGTTCAGTTGTTAATTTGGTCAGAGTTGCGTTTAGGACTCAGTTGGCTCTCTCAACCTTACAGGAAGACCGGGGATGATAAGGAAAGGAATGTGAAACCTCCAAGGAACTGGAAGGGCTCGTGCAGTATTTTGTGTCATTTGGGATGAGAACTCGGGCCTGTTGTCAGACTGGAGAGAGAAAGGCATTCCAAATCTGGGGAGGATTTCAGTAAGAATAAGGCGAGCCACAGTAGGGCCTCGTGTGTTAGTAGTTGGGAAAGCTTCGATCCATCCAGAAAATGTATCTACGAAGACTAGGAGAAATTTAACCCTTTTTACAGGTGGCATGTGGGTGAAATCTACCTGCCAGTCTTGTGAGGGAAGATGTCTGCACATCTGGTGGGTGGGGAAAGGAGGGGGGCGAATGTTAGAATTGGGATTTGTCCGCTGACAAATGGTACAAGTTTGGGTCAGATTATTTAAATAAGTCACATCGGCCTTAGTCAGCTCAATAAAGTTCTGAAGGAAAGCCTTAAGTACTTTTGCAGAGGGGTGGAAAAGGGAATGTAAATGTGAAAGTAATGTGCAGATGTTAGGCTCATCAATTTGGGCTACAGTAAAGACAAGACTAACAGAGGCGGCTGGCCACTTTGCTTCGTGATCTGCTATATTGTTGTAAAAGGAGATAGGACCACGTCGCGGATGTCCCTGGCAATGTATTACAGTGGCTTGTTTGGGGGCTGAGCTGCGTGGAAGAGTTCAGAAATAAAAGAAGCATTGAGAATAGGTGTGCCCTTCTGAGTCAGGAATCCCCTCTCCCTCCAGATTATAATGTTAGAATGTAATATGATATAGACACACTTGGAGTCAGTGTAAATGTTTATCTTTTGGCCTTTGGCTAGGGTCAAAGCTTGTGTAAGAGCTATCAGTTCAGCCTGTTGTGAGGATGTGTGAGCTGGGAGTGTGGCTGACTTGATGAGGTGAGTGGGGATAGCTTTGTCGGGCTGTCCCTGGACTCTAGCGTATCCAGCCCCAAATGGGGCTTGTTTCTGGGCAGTGGCATCTATGAACCAGGATGGGACTTTGGGGTCAGTAAGGGACTGATCGGTTATATGTTCAAAGGGATTCAGTGTCGTATCTAAGTCTGAACGCAGTCATGAGATAGGTGTCCTGCTTCTGGATCTGGTGTAGGGAGTAATCTAGAAGGATTAAGAGGTTTACAAGGCATAAAAGAAAGGGATGAGTTGAGGAGGTTGCATGGAGGATCTGTAGTCAAGCAAGGGGCAGAGAAAGGAAACCCGATGAGAGAGTAAATCTTGGAAGGAACGAGGTGAGCATACATTTAGAGGAGCATTTTGGGTTGGTTTTGAGGCTTCAGGTATTAAGAGGGTAGTTGCAGCTAAGGCCTGGAGACAAGGTGGCCATCTGAGTGTGATGAGATCGAGTTGTTTAGATAACTAAGCTAGAGGCCCCTTTTGGGGCACAGGATCCCTAAGGCATGTCCTTGTCAAGAATGTACAAAAAGGAAAAAAGGCTTGGCATAATCAGGTAAGTAAAGAGAATGGGCCTGTAGTAAGTGTTTGATAAGAGTCTGTATTGGGGTGTGGAGAGAGGTGGAGGCCAATAAGGGTTCGTCTAAGTTTCCTCGAGTAGCTTGCTAAAGAGGTTTTGCGTGGAGGGCAAAATTTGGGACCCATATTCGGAAGAAATTTAATAGACCTAATAGAGAAAGAAGTTCCCTCTTGGTTTTGGGCCTGGGGGTCTGTGTCAAGGCTCAAAGTCTCTGAGCTGGAATTATTTTGGATGTGGGAGTGAGAAGCAATCCCATGTAATTGACCACGGTGGAAGAAATTTGTGCTTTGGAGAGCGAGACTCTGTAGCCCCCGTTGCCAAGGGCATTTAATACTGTCGCAGTGTGGACTAGGCAGTTATGGCGAGAGGAATTACATAACAATAAATCATCTATATATTGGAGGTAGTAGAGTCTAGGTCTAAAGTTTGTAGGTCCCTTTGAAGGGCTTGACCGAAAAAATGAGGGCTATCTCTAAACCCTTGTGGTAAAATGGTCCAAGTTAATTGTTGAGATTGATACGTGTCTGGGTCTGTCCAGGTGAAGGGCAAATAGAGGCTATGAAGAGTGGTGTAGAGGTATAGTAAAGAAAGCATCTTTGAGGTCCAATACCGTGAAGTAGAGTGTATCAGGGGAGATATGCGAGAAAAGGACAAAGGGGTTAGTGTCCACAGGGTGTATTATGGCCTCTTTGACCCTGTGAAGACCTTGGACTAGACACCAGGAGTGGGGTCCCTTTTTGACTGCCAGTATAGGAGTATTATGAAGAAAACAGGCCACAAAAGGCTGGCTTTGAGCAGTCGGGAGATTATTGGTTTAAGTCCTTGTAGGGATTCTGTGGTCAGGGTATACTGAGTTTGGGTTATTACCTGAGAGGGATTTTTGGGGTTTTTTTTGTTTTTTTTTTTTTTTTTGGTATGAAAATTAGATTTTTAAATAAAACCTGGTTACTCTTCTCCAGGAAATAATATTTCAAGTACACAGTTGTCTTTGGTATCTATGGGGCATTGGTTCTAGGACTCTTGCAGGCTATATGCAGAACAGAAAAAGAGACACAGATGTATAGAACAGACTTTTGGACTCTATGGGAGAAGGCAAGGGTGGGATGATCTGAGAGAATAGCAGTGAGACATGTATATTATCAACTGAGAGGGATTTTTAAGAAAAACCTATACAGGGGAATGGTGTCAGGCTACCGATGGGGCTTCAGTGTCCCAGACCTGAGGATCTATCGGGGGAAGGTCAGGGGGCAGGTTTTGGGAGTGAGGGCTGGCCAGCGGGTGCCATTTGGATGCAAAGAATTGATATGGGATCTAAGAATGGGAGGTTTATTGAAGTTTGTAGCTTAGCCAGAAGATCATGTCCCATCAATGCCATTGCACATTGAGGAACCACTATAAAAGAATGTGTTAGTGTTGCCTTACCAAAGGAACAAAGGAGAGGAGGGGTTATTTGGGATAAAAAGGGACACCTGAGACCCCTTCAGTGGCCATTTCTGAAGGCTGGAGAGGGCCTTTAAAGGAGGTTAAAAGTGAAAAGGCCGCTCCAGTGTCTATTAGGAACGAGACTCTGTGTCCAGCCACCGTGCCAATTACCTGAAACTCTGGGTCCATCTGTATGGGGCGGACTTGGGGTCTGGAGCTTGGGCTCCATCACTGGAATAATTCAGGCACAATTGGATCATCTCTCATCTCATCTGAGGAACCATGGTCTGGGGTGCCAGGGCCCTTCTCAGTCTGGTTCCCGGCCCATTGTTGTTGGGTCTAGGGTGGACCCCGAGATTTGGTGGATAGTGTCTGAGGACAATCCATTTTCCAGTGGCCCCATTGTTTGTAGGTGGGGCAGGGTTTGGTGGGTGGCCGGGGGTTTGGGCAGGACTTAGCCCAGTGTCCCGTTTGGTCACATCTGAAGCAGGGGCCTGGAGGGTTAGGTCCCATACAGGTGGGCCGAGGTCGATGGGCCAAAGGGGTTGAATTTTTTTCTTGGATAGCTGCAGCGAATCAAGCACATTTGGCCTTTCTTTCCTTTTCTTTTTCTTTTTTTGCTTCTTCCTCCCTATTGAAAGCTTTAAAGGCTATTTCTAGGAGATCTCGCTGGGGGTTCAGGGCCCTTCTCTAACTGACGTAGTGTTCGGTGAGTATCGGGGGCTGACTGGCTTATGAACTGGACATGTAGGTACAGAAATCTGGTGGGGGTGGAAATATCTAGATTAGTGTATTTCTGGACTGCCTCAGTAAGCCGTGAAAGAAATAGGGCAGGATTTTCATCTTTTTCTTGAGTCACTCTCCTAATCTTATCGTAGTTAACATGAATGTGAGCGCCTTTTAGCATTCCTTCTAATAAACAGGTCATCATATGATGCAGGTGCCGGCTGCTGGCCCTGCCTGCTTGATATGTCCACTGTGGCTCAGTTAAAGGGCCTGCATCATCAGCGACTGGATTAGTCCTATCTTGGTTATGGAGCTGATCAGTATGAGTCTGGCTGCCTGCCGTATCCGTTCCTTTTCATCAGGGGTTAAAGTGTTAGGATGTAAAAAAGATCATTCCAGGTTAAATGATATGCTTGTGTAAGGCGGAGGAATTCTTTTCTGTATCTAGTAGGATTTTCTGAAAAAGATCCCAATTTTTCTTCAATCTGGCTCATATCAGAAATTGAGAAAGGCACATGAACCCTCCAGTCCCGCTACCTCTCTGGAGGAAACATGTGTTTGCTTTGGGTCCCGGTCGATGGA